TAAAGCGCGACATGCGCTGCCGGCACATACTACGTTCACCAGTACACCATGCATTGGGACCAGACGAGTGGGGTTGTTAGACTGTATCAGGTCTACTGTGAAGCCCGTATATGAATAACTTGCAATAACTAACGCATCCTGGCAAAGTGTTCTGTATGCCCTCGTCGCAAAAGTTCGTAGTATTTGCCCAAGTACCATAACTTGACGCATTATGAAGTAAATAGCCAAGGGATTCTCTGCGCATGGCGCCGCGCTCTGTGCTATGTTATTTGGCATTGCTCATATGTGAAGCAAGGCTTTTTATCCCAAGGGTCTTTGGGCAAACTCCAGCTTAAGTAAGATCGACTCGGTCTCGGGTCGTGAAGTTGTGTAGTGTGGTAGAGGTTATTAGCCAGCTGGTTTGGTCGTTTGGAAGCACTTGTGTTTTGGCAATGGACAGAAGGATGCCCTTGTCCGTCTCAGCCCGTGGTAAGTACTGATGCAAGTGGAAAGGGCAAAAGTAAACCTGCCGTCATGACAGTAAATGTCATCTGGCCTAATGCAACTCGAGAATCGGGCTGGTTTTCTCTCCTTTCTTGTTGCGATATGATGCGCAGAAGTGTTCTCCTGAACATGCTGTGAGTGCCTGTTTCGGTACCAAGTATCTGACCTAGGGTCACAGAAACTGGTTAAGCTGCCGGGGTGCCCGTTGTGTCTAGTTTTTCCTTTTAGTTTGGAAAAGGAAACATTCGAAATTATTATGCATCGCACCGAATTCAGCATAAAAACTCATAAAAATAAAATCCAAGCATAATACCCGCTGTGCCTAGTCGCATCTGGCAATTAACATTACAACAATTAGCAACCACCTTTGGCATGCACTAGTGCCAATATTCAAGATATATCACTACACTAACTTCAGGCAATCAAACAAGTGGCCACTCCATAATATCAAAGATGCAGATTTTAAGCACAACTAAATGATGTAGCTCTGCGTGGAACAACCAGCCTGGGGCACGACAACTGTCGCAAATTACGACATTTTTCTGCATAATGCCGACATTTGACCGGCGCTTCAAATGGAGTCTCTTGCACTCGGGTTGCTTCGGATTCATGGCTCATGTCATGCCCGCTGCGCACTCCCTGGATCTGAACCAAGCATCCAGTAAGTGTTTGAAATGGCATGGCGAAACACAGGGCAGGGGGACTGCCGCGACGCAGGCAGATGGTTGTGTCCACGTTTCCGCTGTCCAATGGCTGTGTTGCGTATCTCGCCCGGTCCTCGGGCCTGAGCCGTCACCTGGCTGGCTGGCAGCAAAGGGGGCGGGGTGCCGCCGGGCGAGAGTTCACAACAGCGGATCGTTCGCCCCGGAGCCTGGTGCAAACGGTGTCTCCGTGAGACGGCCCCTGCGCCGCAATAGACACCTCCGTCGTTACAGCGCTTGCTTCCATCTGTGACGGAACGGGCGAGCGGCGCCTGGTTGGCTGCGGCTCGTGCGCGGTAGCTGGAAGACTAATGCCCGCTTTGGTAAACAGTGATGTTTCCACGTCATCGCACGATCCAACGCTCTGCGATGATAGCTGTAATTGCGTCGCGCGGTAAACAGTTCGCGTAACACGGACGCTGGTACCGAAACGCGGTTAGCGGTTTGGTTTCCCCGGCCATTTCCAAGATGGTGGCACACAGGGGTGGACCGTTCCGACAACTGTCGGAGGCACAGCAGAAGTGAGGGTTGATTTTTCCGGCATAAGGCTGCCTGAGGTACATAAGAATTTCCAGCAATGCATTCACGGTTGAGGCGTGATTGTCGTGATAGTTGTCCGCACGAGTGTTTCATAGTGCGCTCCGCTGGTGACAGTGTGTCGCAGTCAAGTGATGCGGTGTACATTAAGGCGAAATCAAGCAGTGTACTTCATTACGTTACGTTATGCACACATAAGATGACTTGGTAGTTTCCGACTTGGTGTACAAATGCTGCAAGTCCTCTGGAGAGCAAAAAAACACAAATTGGCCTAGGATTGGTGGCAAAAGCAATCCTCTACAGGGAGTGTTCCACGTTTGCATGGGGCTTTGAACTGGTATAGCCGTCGTTTTGACGATCACTCCATGTACCTGACAGCCCTATCCGTAGAAGACTTAAAGTTATCTTGTTTTTGCGCTAGACGCCCATTAAGTTGTGTAAACCACTTCGTGCGGACTATTTCAAGGTCATACAGGCATGCAAACATCACGCGTTTACTGCTACTCCATTGGTTATGCAGTGCTCAAATCCAAGAAAAAAGGTATGATCATCGAGTTGTCCGTGTCTGGTGTGGCTAACAGCAAAAGTCACGGGCAATTTGGTAATGACACGACTAGAAATGGCCAAAACCGGGGCACATAACGATATGCGGTTCAGCAAATACCTCCAGCACCGCCACGGCCATCTCTCGGGAGGTTGAAGTACTACAAGTGGGCCAGCCCGTTCGCTACAGTGCCAATTCTGACGCGACCAGTCGGGCAGCGATATACCGTCATAAAGACGCTCCATGACGTAATCAAACGATGACGTATTGGGTAACGTATTTACAAAATAATGGAATTGTGCTGTCCAGAATAGTCTTAGATACTTAAAAGCGGAGCAACAGAAGTGATATGAATGCATCATGTGTAAAGTTTGTCTCAGTGTCTTCAAATGTGGAACTTTCCCTTTGATGCTTGTTTTTAGACATTTCCTCATTTGAAGATATTGAGGCAGGCATTGGATATGGTGAAGTCCTAAAAAAGAAACTGGCCTTTTGTGAGGTAACTGCTCGCTCTTTATCATTCTGACATTCTGACGGTATCCTGAAGACTGATTCTGACATTCTGACGGTATCCTGAAGTTTGATTCTGACGTTCTGACGGTATCCTGAAGTCTGATTCTGACATTCTGACGGTATCCGGAGGTCTAATTCTGACATTCTGACGGTTTCCTGAAATATGATTCTGACATTCTGACGGTATGAAGTCTGATTCTGACATTCTGACGGTACCCTGAAGTCTGATTCTGACATTCTGACAGTATCCTGAGGTGTGATTCTCACATTCTGACGGTATCCTGAAGTCTGATGGCGACCGACGTTACGTCATTCTGAACGATGCATTGCGTTTTATCGATCCGGGCTTCGGATACCATACTGTCCAAAGCAACTTAATGGTTTATTGCGAGTTACTTAGTTTTGGAGAAGATCTCTTGTATCACGTGAAGGTAGGCTTAGAGTCTCGTATTCTGCAGTGGCCAGGTGAATGCTCAGCTTCCACGTGGCTTGTCAATTGGGAAAGTCCTTTTACATCTTGTGGTCGTTTGGGTAGGATTTGATTTGTATAAGCACTTCAAGCTTGCATTACGTAAGCATGTTTTCCGAGTAAGATGGAGACCAAAGCTCGGGCTGCTTAAAGGCAGCGTTCTACAACTGCATGGGGTTATGAACTGCAATAGCGATCTTGAAGAGCATTCGGTGCTGTTCATAGCCTTGCCCTTCTTAAGAGCTAAACCCCCCTAGTTTCTGATCCACACGCCCACGAAGATGTGCAGACTTAAGACGATTGCAAGGTCACCCAGGCGTCCATAACGCCATAAGAACGTCATCCACATTCTGTCACTCTTTTGGCCATGTAGGGACTAGGGCCAAACGAACTATAATTGTTGAGTCGTTCATAATTGGTGTTCGTGAGCGCGATTTACAGTTATGACAACCGTCAAATGGCTCTAAATCAATGTTGTGCGAGGTACGATGATGCACTGAAACAATGACCTATCGAGGACCAAATTTACTAACTACGGTAATTGTGTTGTTTAGATCAGCCTTTTCCACGTAAAAGTGTACCAATAGTTAGGTGAGTTTATTTCATCATTTCTGGCCCTTGCTTCAGTATATTCAAATATGGAGCATTCCATTTGAAGAGACTGCCGTGAAATTTTAAACTGCTCAGCGCTGTTCGTTAAACCGTCTTTCAGTTCGATATGGTCTCTCTCGGGCCGCCCCGCCAGTGCGTCGTGCTCTGATGTGTAAACTCTCGCAGCGGTTGAAGCGTCGGCAGCGACGTGGCCAGTAAGCTTTTCCGGAAGGCGGACTGCGAGGGGACGGCAGCAACTAGTAACAGCGGGACGCTGCTACTTTGGAAGCGGCTGACCCTCCCGTGCTGCTCGTCGTTCACAAGATGCCCCCGTGTCATGGCTGACCACGTGACTGGTTGATGAAGTGCTGGTTGGGGAAGATGTTAACGCCCTTGCACCTGATGCTGTGTTATTGTCACGCCTCAGCACGGCATGCAATGGCTTAAGCAATTCCCTTCGTGAGGCGAGGTTTCCTACGTTGCCCATCTCCTGTTCCTCCTCGCCCCACCGCCGGTAATGGCAACCAGGGCTATGTGCGTTTCGGAATCTGCCAAGCCGTGCCAGACCAGCTCCCTTGTAAACCGTGTTAAGGGTCCTGTTGTTACGCCATGAGCATTGCGGCACCATACCATAGGCGCTTTGCGCCTTTGTTATCAATCATAAGGTTGCGAAATGGTGCCGCGCTGTTTTCAATAAGAATGTTGCAACATGTGTTATGGGGCTTACCGTCAAGGTTTTAACCTCCAGGTTCAGCGTCTCTTGACCACTTCAGGGTCTTGCGTCACCAGGGTCAGCGGGATCAGCGTTTCTTGACCTTTAGGTGTGTCTGCGCCCGTGTCCTCTAGTGCCTCTGGGCATCTGGAGGTCATCGTGTCTTGACCCCTGGAAGTCAGCGTGTCGTGACATTTGAAGGTCAGAGTTTCTTAACCTCTGGAGGTTAGCGTGGTTTGGCCCCCGGAGTTCAGCGTCACCTGACCGCCGGAGGTCAGTGTCTCCTGACCCTTGGAGGTCAGCGTGTCTCGTCCCCCGGAGTTTAGCGTGCTCTGACTTCTGGAGGCCAGCGCATCCTGACCCCTGGAGGTCAGCGTGTCCTGACCCCATGAGATCAGCACGTCTTGTCACATGGAGGTCAGTGTGTTTTGACCCGCCCTGGGCCGCCAGGTGCGCTGCATGGAGGACTACGGCGAGTTCGAGACGGACGAGGGCGACGTGGTGCTGCTCAAGAAGAACTCGATTCACTTCCTGCCTCGCGCCCAATGCCAGCACCTGGTGCGGCAGGGCGTGCTCCGTCACGTAGTGCACTGATGACGTCAGACGATTACGTCACGCGTGCATATCGCCGACGATGCGAGCGAAGGACGCGCCCGAAGGCCGCAGTCGGCGCCGCTCAGGTGCGGACGTGCTTCGCTGCGCCGTAGCGCTACCCAGGAGGCGGCGCGTCAGCTGCTGACATTCGTGGCGGCTGCTGACGTCACTCGTGGCGACTCGTGACGCCACGTGCCGAGTACCGCCGTGTGCGCCCGTGTCCCTACGGCGGATTGCAGACGTCAGTGGACCACGAGCATGGTGTTTCCCACGTTCGCCGCCCTGCCGCGGACGGCAGTGATGACGCTGGCGCTGGTGGGCCGTCACAGCGGCGGCGTTCTCTTCCGCATAATCTCGCGCTGCGCCAGTTTGAAGGCTTGCGCGCCATGGACTGCTGGGCTCGCGTTTGTCGGGCAATAGCATCGACTGCTGTTTGAGGGTGGTGGAGTCATGAAGCGACGGTTATTGCCAGTCAGCGTGACTATGGCTTCCTCACTGTTTCGTTGCGTCATAGGTTTGTTCCACGGATGGACAGCCTGTCGTTGAATCCTGAAATTCACGCCTGCGCTTGTAGGCGGGATGCACTCCAAGGTCTGCGCTGTATGATTGCTTAAGGTCGACGCGAAAATACACCTGATCTGGGAAAGTCAGTGTCGTTCGAAGCTAAACCTGGTGTGCTGAATACGTCCGCGATTTGAGGCCCACCATTCACACGCGATCCAATGCAGCCGCCTCCCGAAGAGCGCGCCGTTGCGGGCATCCAACGTTTCTTCGCTGCGATGACAGGATCCGCGTCCTTCCGTCTCATCTGGCTAACCAGAGTCGACGCCGACGCGCTTCCCACGCTCCGGGGCCGCCGGACGAATGGTGACGCGAGCGCTCGGACCCGCAGGCTGCGACCCGAGAGCCGTCATGTGCGTCTGGAAAGCGAGCGGCTGTCCAAACCTGATCCCGTGACCCGGGACTCCCCGCGTGGACACTGGTGCTCTTATCTGCTCCGCCTCGCCACGCGGCTATTGCGAAAGCCAGGGGAGGCGCCCGGAACACGATCGCGGTTGGGGCGTAGTTCAAATCGTGGCACAGGGCCGCTCGCTGCTGGGGAGTTACCGGTAAGCAAAGGATGGAGACCGGCGGTGTTCCCCGTCTCTCTTGGTCGATGGGCCACAGCTTGAGTTCTGCTGCACCGCCAGCTGGCCGCGAGCGACGTCAGGCCCTGGGGGCCGCGGGTGCCACTGAGCGTGCGAGAGCGGCTGTTCGGTCGTGAGAAGACGCAATGGTGGCTGGACTGCGCTACTATATGTGCGCGCTTCGGAACCCATCTGCAATCCATCAGCGGACTTGGTGTGTGCATTGCTTTGGAACGTGATGTTGAACATGTGTGTGATAGGTTCCGTCTCCTCCGAAACGCGTCTTTTCGTTTGGATGAGCAGCTCTACCAGATCACTGTCGACATTCCTCGAAATCGACGAGCATTGTTTGCGAAGGAAACCCGGTGAAATCACCGGCTGAATGTGTGTTGTGTATTCAAACACGGAAAGGGACGGTTTTCGCAGTGGCTGATGAAAGACAGGAAAGGTTGATGAAACGTTTTACATTAGTGGGAAGAGATTGCCTCGGCGTTCTCCCCCAAAACCTGTGCTTCCCCTGTGGTGACTCGCCAATGGTGTTGATACTGTGACGGTATCGCGAGTTGGATGATGTGTCAGTGCGAGTGCGAGCGGACCTGGCTGAGCGGGTCTTAACGTCAGCTGACCGGAATTATAAAACTTCATTGGCCCGTCCGTCCACTCAAGCATTTCACGTGGCTATGTTTGTATTATGTTTGTAAGGCATAATACAAACATTTGTATGATTGTTTATATGCTAGCGGTTTGATCGGGCTGCGCATTTCTTCAACGTTGTAGCATATAACAGTCGCCTCTCTACTTATGAATTGGTCCCATGCCACTTCCTTATGCAAGCAACTTGGGAGACGCAAACTTTTTAAATCGCAGAAAATATTAGTATACGGGTCGGAAACAGGGGCAGATCTCGGTGACCTGCGAACACTGATATGAGACGGAGACACACTACGACTGCCGGAGGAGGCACAGGCAGTCGTTCTGGCAAAACCTGGGTTAACACGTGGAGACAATTACTAGCGCCGTCGCGCACAAACCGTGGGTCCGCGCGCCGTCAGGCATTTCTTAGTGTTGGGAGCGGATGTCGCCAACCAGGCGGGGGCGTTCGGCCGGTAAATAATCTCAGAAAGTTATCCGGAATGTTGGAAAAGTTTCGGAATGGCGGTTGGCACTGCCAGGACAGAAAATTATCCCAGATGATTTCCCGCGCCGAATGAGAATCCCGGCAAAAAAATCAGCGTGGTCAGACAGGGAATCTTTTTCCGCTATGCATAGCTGTGGCCGTTGGATGTGCATGGTGCATAGTAGCCGAATCTGGAGATAATTGCCGGACCTGCAGAACGTGAATGCATGGTCTGGAACATTATGGGGAAATAATTATTTCTCGAATAATGTTCCCTTGGCCGAGCGTGCCATTAAAAGAAACATGATATCCACCGAGGAGGGGGGTTTCATATGTCATGTTGTTAAGAGGGTCAGAAATTATCTGATGAACTGAGGCATCTTACTTTGGGCGTTGTGTGCTCATGCAAAACATTGCAGATAGCTTCTAATCGTGGAGGAGTAGATCAGCATGGGGTATTTCCCCGGTACGAAGGTATCAGCGGAGCCGCAGGCGAGCGAAAGGACAAACCGATCCGTTTGGCTAAAAAAGGGCACGCTACTAAGGCCATGCTGTAGTCAGAGGCTGGCTATTGCACTTGACTGAAGAGAAGGATTTAGCGAGTCACTCTCCAAGATCTCAGGCATTTTTGCAGTCCGGGAGTTGCAGTGGTGTCTGATTTACATTTTAAGGCTGGGAGTCTGATGGAGCAGTGGTATCGCCAGCCTATAAAACAGAAAGGGCAGTCCCCGCTCACCATCAGCGGTCAAAAAAGCTTCTGATTTGCCGGATATGATCGGTGACAAAAAACTGGACATTTGTGAACCAATTGGGGACGAAATTGTGATAATGGAAGGGGAAGGGAATGTCAACAGACCATAACATGTTACAACAGATCGTCCCAGCTAGACGAAACTCAAAGCTTAGTATTGGTCTGTACTCACTAACGGTTGCATCGTGAGCATGTGTAGAGCACATGTCGAAACGTTGGCGTATCGCTGTATGAACAAATTGAGCCTTAAGATGCTACCAGATATAGTGGGTTTAATCAGGATAGTTTTTTAGCAGGTGCCAGAAATATACTACAAACCATACCATATCAGTGCTGACATCACAGATCAGTGGTGACACAGTGTTTTTCCAATGCCCCTCAGGTCAGTGCCTTTCACAGATTTTTCAGCCAGGATTCACTTCACATACTACACGGTTTAAAATGCTACATAACTAGGCTTATTACTAGTCGTAAGAATCGTGGCTCGCCACGGTACCTTGCGACGAACCTGACCAGTTTGCTACGCAGCGTTTTAAAACGTCGTGCCATTTCAGACAGATGGGCCTGGCTGCTCGCCACGCGGTAATGCGTGGAGTTCAGTGCAAGGTTGTGGGCTGCTGTCGATTGTGTCCACGTCGTGAGAAGCAGACTGGCTAGAAGAACGCAGCAAATGGTCAGTTTTGTTTTAAAGTAATAGCGTTTAAAAGCCCTGCCAGTCTAGAAGGATTGTTGTTTGTAGATACCTTGGCTGTAGCTTAAGAGGTAAGCGGAGGCCGTGGAGCGACACACGCCAATGCTTCATCCGGACCTTTCTGCTGCTGAAAGGAACAGCGGCTTTAAGGTAAGAAAGAGGCCGAGCGCCGCTGGTGTAGGCCTCTCACATTGCCTGTTGGAACTCAGACTTGGCGTACTAGTCGGTGGACAGGATGAGATAAAGCGCTTTTAGTTGTAATCATATTGCATTATTGTCTGCGGTTTGCTCTAAATAATGGGAGCATGTTCGGAAGTGCGAGTTCTGCACTGGCAATGATTATGCGAAGATAGGGAAGGTCGCCAACGCTTCCAGCTTATTGTTCGATGACGTCACAAAATCAAAAGTGATGTTTCAGGTGCTCGTAGAACCATGTTATCGGTAAGAGCAGGGCTGCAGCGATGCAGTTTTACAAAATATTTAGGGGTGGGGGAGAAAAAGTGCTGCGCATGCATTCGAAATGCACTTAAACCGCTTTCTCCCCAGATTTGACGTCCCTTTTTCACAGTTGGGAGCAGTGGTGTAGTTTCTCAAAATTGGTTTTGGGGGGCTGAACTCCCAAATAATTATGGTTACTGAAAAATAGTGGATAAGGCTGATAACTCAAAAAAGAAACTGTATCCCTGGTAAGGAGGCATAATCCCGCCCTCACTCCCCCCCGCGCGAACTGAATAGGAAACTACACGCCTGGCTGGTTATGTTAAGTATGTCTTTATCTGATAATTTTATTGGTCAAGTCTCAACCATCATTCAGTGTGTGATGGCCAGCAAATGACACTTAAGTGCGAATTGCTCGTGAAACGAAAACGTCCGATGGTTATGCCGCATTTAATTTAAGTAACGTTTAGTTAAACGTAAGTTTAACGTACGTTTAGTTAGTTAAACGTAAACGTTGCAACGTTTTCTGAAATACTCGACTCCAGCTGACGATTTAGACGGTTCCAAATTTCGTCGGTGACAGAAAAGGCACTTGTTTCACCCCTGCCCGCTCTCACCCCACTGCTCCTCAGAATATGACACCCTGGGAATACATTCCATCGTGGATTAGTTTCGGTACCTTCCGTTGGCGTTCGCATGACGCACGCACGAATGCGAGGGTATATGGGCGCACGTGCAAAAATTATGCGTGTTCATATATCAGCACATTCGCGTTCCATAGCTTGCGCTCCACCAGGGACGTGGCCAAGGAGGGGGGGGGGGGGACATGAGCCAGAATATTCACTCCAGTTACTGGGTGATTTCGCAAGAATTTGGTCCAACTTTGCAGGATTTCGGAAAAATGACACTTGGCTTTCCTCTGAGGGAAATTTTGTCTGAGTACCCTGCTCCATCATGGTCTGGCCATCATTCTATGGCACGTGTTTCAGCAGTCGCAGCCGCGCTGTGCCCGCCGATCCACAACCTGTGCCTCGGCTGGCTCGCTCGGCCCTGACGCCAGGCTCCGCTGCCGCACCCGCCATATCCCACCGCCGGACCTTTCGATTGCGCGGATCGCTGGGATCCTCGGCGGCAAAAATTCCCGCATTTAGCCCGTTTGATTTCGGGGGAGCCCGATTTGCTTCGTTTTGTTCAATTCTTCGCCTGTTTTACTAAAACAGGTGGCAGAAGCAATCAGAACATGCAATTCTGCTTCTATTGGTCAAAAGTTAATGAAACTCAAGAACCAGGTATCAAATGACTGCATCTCAAAAACCATCGGTGTTATTCACTGTATAACGTTTCAGTGCGCTCTTTTTAAGCCGTAACGGTCAGGGACGTGATCGGGACTTTCGAGAGCTCCTCAGAGATATTGTGGGGCGCATGGATTGAATGTAGCTCGCGCATCAAAATAGAGCTGCAAGTTTTTATATGGTCATCCCATGTTTGCCTGAGAATGTTCGACCTCTGTTCTG